TATATATATTTAAATTATAAATTAAATTATATTAAAATAAAATAAATAAAAACTATACAGAAAAATACAAATGAATTTAGGTAATAAAATAAACAGAATATAAATATAAAAAAATAACAAAAGCACATAAGAAAATTACAAACAATTTCATTAACATTAAAATAAAAATAGAACATTTTTTAAATAATTAATAAATATGAATAAATATTTATAAATCATTTTAAAAATGAATAAAAATGACAAAAGCAAATAACAAAGTTACAAAAAAATTTGAAATTAAAAAGGAAAAATGTATATAAAAATTTTAAAAAGCTACATATTAAATAATTAAAAAAACTAACAAAAAATGACAAAAGCACATAACTAAATTACAAACAAGAGAAAAGAAACAGAAAATAAATACTTATAAACAATAAAAACTAATTATAATGACAAAAACAAATAACAAAATTACAAAAAAATAACTAACATTAAAATGAAAATAGAAACAAATGAGAAATAAACAAACAAATATGAATAAATGCTTATAAATGATTTAAAAACTAATAAAAATCACAAAAGCAGACAACACAATTACAAAAGAGGAACACTATTCTTACAGCAGCTGCACACACACTCACACACACATGACCCTTCCCCTCATCTCACAAACATCATTAACAGAGTCACCATCAGGGTTACTGCAGTTAACTAAAACTAAAACCATTCAAAAATTTATACTTATAAACAATAAAAATGTAAGTAAAAATATAAAATATCAAAAATAAAATTAAAAAAAAAAAAAAATCAACTATAATGGTATCTCAAAGATACTAAAATAACACTTAAAGCCGGCATTAAACGGAAGATACGGCCAAGTTTACAACCACTTATTATGATTATGACCAACACATTGAGTTGAGACATGATTGCATCTGTTGATTGTTAAACGGATTGTAAAATACTGGAATGTGATTGGTCTCACATACGTCACAGCTTATCACACAAAGAGCAAGTTATGACATGTTGATTAAAGATTACAAAATTAGTCGTCAGTAAGTGATTCATCTATGCATTATATATATATATATATATACTGAACAAAATTATAAACGCAACACTTTTGTTTTTGCCCCCATTTTTCATGAGCTGAACTCAAAGATCTAAGACTTTTTCTATGTACACAAAAGGCCTATTTCTCTCAAATATTGTTCACAAATCTGTCTAAATCTGTGTTAGTGAGCACTTCTCCTTTGCCGAGATAATCCATCCACCTCACAGGTGTGGCATATCAAGATGCTGATTAGACAGCATGATTATTGCACAGGTGTGCCTTAGGCTGGCCACAATGCATGGATGACAATGCAATATATATAATGCATGGATGAATCACTTACAAGTATATAACAGTATATACTAATATGCATCTTTGCATTAATTTGATTTCATGCAACTTTAATCCCAAGTATTCAACTTAAGTTCAACTTCAAATACTTGAAAATGCACACATTTTATAACCAACGTGTTTGCAATAGAAAGCATCCTCTCACCTTAACCGATTCCAACAAACTTTTGGGGAAGAACCGCCGTAGTCCGACGTCTTTTCTGCCAAACAGAGAAACAGAGCAGAAATCTGAGCGCAGATGCAATGATGTCATCGCAAACTCACAGACGGCCAACAAACTGTATTTGACTTGAGACGTTTCCACAGAGAAGCAGCCCATCTGGAGAACGGATCGCATCACACTCCCCGGGACCGAGTCTGATCTATAAACGCATGCTGGATGACATGTGGACCTAATGAATCAACTTTTCCAAACATCATTCTACAGAACCTCGCATACATGTGTAAAACATTACTATAACAATGAAAATCGCTTTTAACAAAATGCACCAAATAAATGATTCAGCTTTGTCATGGTAATGCATTTCCAACCTCTCCGTTCTGCATTAATTATGCATGTTTTGATGAGGAAACAAAATAAACGGTAGTGAAGTAAAATCTGGAATTTTTTTTAACATAATTTATAACAAAAAATCTTGAGGCTGGGTTGCCAGGTTGTGAAAAACCCTGTTACCATCATATTTTCCCTTTTAAATTAACAAACAATTTAATCAATTTGTCGCACTGACATCATCATAACCATCCTTTTATCCTTTCCATCCTTATGACTAATTCACATAGATTACAATAAAAGAAAACATATGGGATTATGTTACACAGATTCAGCACACAGTTTCTACCCTATTCTGTTGTTCAGAGCAGGGCTACTGTCAGTAACTAACATTAAAACTATTTTTTTTTAAATCTTACTTAAATAACAAATAAATAAAATAAAATATAGTTTAAGTTAAATAAAATATATAAATAAAGCTTTATTTAATTTAAAAATAAATGACTAAAATTGCGTTGTCTTCTAAAAGACGAGATAACTCGTCAATGGCGGGGAAAGAGTTAAAAGAACTGAATACAGTACATTAAATATACTATGTACGTTTTTCCTCATAACATTATATTATGAACTATTGGTCAGTTAAGCATAATATGATGCAGTAATGTTTATAATACAAAAATTATATAAGATCACTTAATATCTAATATTAAATATATATTATTTTAAGATATATATTTCTATATTTTATAAATCAATATTAAACATTAAATATATGGGAATTATGTTATATACATCCAACAGTTTCTGCCCTAATATGTGACCCTGGACCACAAAACCAGTCATAAGTGTCAATTTTTCAAAATTGAGATTTATACATCATCTGAAAGGTGAATAAATGTGCTTTCCATTGATGTATGGTTTGTTAGGATCAGACAATATTTGGCCGAGATACAACTATTATGAAAATCTGGAATCTGAGGGTGCAAAAAAAATCTAAATA